TTCAAGGAAGAGCTATGAAGACAGGGAGAGGGAGCTAGGTACAGACAGTGGCCAGCCCAGTTTTGGATCTGACACAGCTTTTCCATGCAAAACCATTCATTTTCGGACTTCAACGCCTTCCCTTTATTCCTCTCACCCCCGAGCTGACCTCCCTGGCTGGAAGCTTTCCTTCAGTTCCCTGGTCTCATTTCTTCCCTACCAGGTGTTTATAAACACAGTCCATTAGAGAAAAGTATCAGAACATGTCCATGAATCCCCTCAAGTAGATGACTGAACTTTCATGCTTTTGTCTTGATGACCTTGACCCTATTCCTGGAAAGAACACATCTAGCAAAACTTGTCACCCTACTCTAAGGTCCCAAATAAATGTGGAAACAAAGTAAAAGCAGTCTGTTTGCTATTGAAGTGGAGCTTCCAGCAGGCCTTCAGCCTCTCAGTTCTCCCATATAGAAATTCTGGAGCTGCCGTACTCATGCCCAGTGGTGTGCACATGTTGAAGAAATGTGGTTTGTGTTGCCCTTCACAGAAGTCTTTGGAGACTGAAAAATAAAAATAGCAACTGCAGGACATTTCCTTTGCGAAACTGATGAAATTTAAAGCTTTTTCTTCCCACAAATATAAATACAAAATTTTGCAAATAATTTCAGGATGCGAGAGGACCTTTGAAACACTCTTATAGAACCCTGGGGGTTCACAGATGCCAGGAGAAGCCACCCAGTGCTAATGGGAAAGGAGCAAGGAAGAAGTGGACACCGGGTTGTTTTGTTTTGTTTTCTTTGTAATTCTTTGACCTATTTGTACATGAGCAAGAGTTTTCAAATCTCTGGGCTCAAATAGATCATGTGTAAGTTTGCTTTTCATTTTCACTCTCTTTCTCTTCCTTTCCATTTTCTCTCCCTCCTTAAGAATAAGTTCTTTCTTTTACCTGGATATAACTAATCACTATTGAGGCTTAAGTGTGACACTTCCAGGTAAAATACAGTCACTTCTGCTATAATGTGACTTTCATGTTTCTAAAAATCACTGCACTACAAAAACCCCACAATTAAAAGCCACACAGGCTTTATAGGGAACATGAAATTGGGGGATAGCATTCCAAAAATTTCATCAGTGACATTAAAATAGAAGGTAGGACCCTAACTAAAAAGTCAACTGTTCTGTTGCAGGGCTTGGTAGCTCAGCCTGTAATCCCAGCACTCTGGGAGGCCAAGGCAAGTGGATTGCCTGAGCCCGCCGGTTTGAGACCAGTCTCGGCAACCTGGCGAGACCTTGTCTCTACAATAAAATAAAAAATGGCTGGGCATGGTAGTGCGCATCTGTAGTTCTGGCTACTCAGAAGGCTGAGGCAGAAAGACCACTGGAGTCCAGAAGGTCGATGCTGGGGTGGCCGTGAGCATGTGTGCCACTGTACTCCAGCCTGGGTGAAGGGTGAGACTCCAACACACACACACACACACACAAATTCATGACAGGTTAAATGGTTAAGAGATACATAAACACTGCAATAACTGTATCCCTTTACCTAGAAAAATGCATGAAGTTTGCTCAAGGAGGTAGGTGTTGGAAGGATTCAGACTGTGAGTTATTGCAAAGTGGTGAAGGAGGGTTCTCTGGAATGAAACACTATGACACCAGATGTGGATGGGTGTGGCCATGACACATGCAGGGAACAGAGGTAGCTGATGGATGCTGGGTCATGTGTGCTTTTTTCACGGTCCTCAGCTGGTTGCATTCAGCTGGATGCAGTTTTACGCATTCACCTAGCATTTCTTGCAGATGAAATTGCAGATAAGCAAACATAAAATTCTTGTTACACTCAAATTGTTCCAATTGATACGTCAATCCCATTGGATTAAATTATCATTTTCAAAACAAGTCTTATAACAGGATTGATTGTATCCAGATTATAAATTCAATTATAATATAAAAAGTTAAATTATGAGGCAACTGCACTAATTCCACTTCCTCTCCTCTTCCTCACTTCTTCGTCCCCTGCACCTGTACCCCCCAAGTCCAACAAAAATCCCAGTCTTTGCTGGTTCTCTTCTTATCACTCCTTTCTTTCTTTCCCACTTTTTCTGCCTTTTCCCTAAAATTAAAAATTTCATACCCAAGTATGTTTCTTTTCTATTGTTGCTGTAACAAATTACCAGAAATTCAGGGGCTTAAAACAGCATAAATGTATTATTTTCTGATTATACAGAAAAGGTAGAAGTAAAAAATGAACTCTATGGGACTCAAGTTAAAGTGTGGGCAGGACCGTGATTCCTTTGGAGGCTCCAGGGGAGAATCTGCCCCTTGCCTTTCCAGCTGCTAGAGGCCTCATGCATTCCTCGGCTTCTGGCCCCACATCCTTACACCCTATGCTTCTGTTGTCACAGCTCCTTCTTTGGCTTTGACCCTCCCGCCTTCTTCTTGAAAGGACTGTTGTGATTGCCCTGGGCTAATCTAGAATAATCTCCCTCATCTCAGAATCCTTGATTTAATCATAACTGCAAAGTTCCTCTTGTCATGTAATGTAACATATTCACAGGTTCCAGGGATTAGGACTTGGACACCTTTGTGGGGCCATCAGTCAGTATACCTCACCAAGGGTGATATTCAAAATGCTTATCAACTGATAAGCCAGTTAAGGCAGGAATTCTAACTTTCAGAAAGGTCTCAGGTCATAATGCTGAAGAAGGACCCTGAGAACCCTGATGTGCTGGTTGATGGATTATGAAGAGGGTTGGGAGGACTTAGGGAGGGACTAGGGTATCTAGCATAGTAGTGAGGCACTCCAGGACTGAGAGCAGTGGTTCTCTCAAGCAATATGAAAGACTTTCATCTTTTTTTTCCCCACCAGTACAGCCACCCATGTATTTTGACTGAACAGCACCCTGTCCATTTTCTTCCTTCTGTGGGTCAGTTTAGCCTCCCTAGGCTTCTCCAAGTTCTCCTCTCCATTCTCACCTATGATCAGCATGTAACCCTCCTGGGCTTTTATCATGTGCTGTACGTAGCTCTTTTGCTTGGAATGTCTCATTTAAGCCTCATCATAACCCTATAATTAGATTCTATATTGATCTTCTTTTTGTAACAACATACTCAGGATCATATGTGTTACTAATTGTTAGGGTCTGGAGTTGAACTGAAGCACTTTGCTTTAGAAATTGACCTCTTAACCACTGTGGTTAGTGTCTTCAAGGAAATGCACATCTACATAGATAGATGGGGGCCAGGCTCAGTGGCTCAGCCTGTAATCCCAACACTTTGGGAGGTCAAGATGGGAGCAATGCTTGAGACCAAGAGTTATAGACTAGCCTGGCTTTGTCTCTACAAAAAATAAAAAAAATTTAGTCAGGCATGGTGGTGCCTGCCTGTAGCCCCAGTTACTCAGAAGCTGAGGCAGAAGGATTGCTTGAGTCCAGGAGACTGAGGCTGTAGTTTGAGCTGTGATCATGCCACTACACTCCAACCTGGGCAACAGAGTGAGATGCTAACTCAAAAAAAATTAATAAAGATAGATAGATAGATAAAGAAAGAAAGAAAGCTTGTAGAAAGACCATGCAGGCAATGTAGAGGTACCAAGTGGCAACCCTTAGTCCATATGCATTCATGAGCTCACACAAACCTTCCCCTACAGAATTGAATGATTATAGGGAAGAATTATTGGTCATATTGCAAGAATTATTATCTATTATATAAGATCAAACCTGTATACTCTTGAATATGTATTCTGTATTCAAAAGATTGCAGTCAAACTTCAGAGCAAATCAAGTCCAAACTCCAATTTATCTTGGCTACATAACATTCTGGAATAAAGTATGATGTTCCAGTAAAGTATGTCATGATATAAATGAATGAATGAATAAAATCTATAGTCAAAAGTTTTATTTGTAAGTCCTAACTAACTGTGCTACAAGACTAATCCTGGTTAGAATATCATATTCAATTTCCTTAAGTAGGTAAAGAACCACGAAGACAAAGGAAATAGAAGAAAGAAGGTTGATAAAACCATTTCTGGACTGTGAGTCTTTTATTAACCTCTACCTGGTAATAGATGCAGTAAGAAAAGTGTTGCTCATACCCAGAGTAAATAGTATCTAACAGAAATCAACACCACTACTCTAAGAGAAAACAAATCATTTATGCATTTTTTTATTTTGCTGTTTGGGATTTTTTTTTTTGGACAAGAATGGGTATTACCAATTTTCATTTATTTAATTGATGCATTATATAGAAAAAGATGGACATTAAATAATTTATTTAATGATGGTAAAATGAGATATTGATTGGGAGAGATGCATTTTCCATAGAGTACCTTAGAATCATTTATAACATTTATAAATCAGATTGTTAAATATTGTGTCAGAAGCCAGCATTAATACTAGTTAAAGATGCTTTGGTGAAGAGTTGGAAGCAAATTCTATTTTAAGTCCTTCAAACTTGATAAGAACTCAAGATATTCTTGCTAATTTAGAAGATATGCCCTTTATTTAAAATTTTCTGAAATGTAGTCTCTCCTCCTGCCTTTATGATAGAATATTATTTCCATCAATGAACATAGTTATTATCATTTTTTAAAGTCCTGCATGAAAGTACATATTGCCACATTACTCTTTATCAAAGTGCCCTTATGACCATCAGAGAGAACAGGTAAGATGCCAGGGGAGACCAAAAAAAAAAAAAAAAGAGAGAGAGAGATCAAAGTGTTTTTGTTTACTTCTTTGAAGTCTTGTAGCACCTATTGTTTGCTATACACCCTTCTTGATTTATGTTGAAAATTGGAATTCACCCATTTCTCTCTTTTTCCTGTCAAAGATGCAGATGGGGCACATTTCATTGACTCCAACAATCCCTGCCCCCACACATTAGCACATACACACGTATACCTAGCCAGTGGAAAAGAAAAAAGAGTTACTCACATTCATCCATTTTACAAAGATTTCCAGGTTGCAATGGGAGGGCTTTAACTCTCCCTGAAGGATAAATAAATAGGTAGCTCTACTGACACCTGTTCTCAGTCAAGCTGAGGTGAAAGCGAGACCAAGGTCTTGCTCTGCTGTTGGTACTTATGAGATCCAGTCCTGGCACGATGGAGAGGATATTCATGTGTTTGATGGTCATCTTCTTGGGGACATTGGCCCATAAATCAAATTCCCAAGGCCAAGATCGCCTCCTGATTAGAATGCGTCAGCTTATAGATATCGTTGATCAGCTGATAAATTACGTGAATGATTTGGTAAGATCATGCTTGTCACAACAAAATTTAAATAATATTTTTTCAATTAATATAAAAGGAGGATCTGACATAAAAATAACTCAGAACAAATTTTTTTTTGCTCTAGGACCCTGAATTGCTGCCAGCTCCAGAAGATGCAAAGGTAAGGCCAGTTGAATTTATTTCTGAACATATATCTGATATAAGTTTTAAAATAAATTAAGAAAGGCATTAGCAAGATTAGTTAGGAATACACTGAATATCAATGAATTTAGGGGTTTGATAATTGGTAAAATATCAATTTCTCTTTGATCAAATATTCATTGATTTGCCCACAAACCAACCAATACAATACTATACTACATTTCTTATAAAATATTTATTTTCAAGAATCTCTGAGTACTCCTGAGTAGTGTTGTTGAGAAAGAATAATAAAACTAGAAAATGAATATATACTCTGATAATTTTCTGAGAAATAAATAACTAATTACATTTTAAGAAACTGGTTATAAAGCTCTGAATCCCTGTTTGTTATCCTATTTAAGAAATCAAGGCCACAAGAAACAGAATTCATCTCTTAATAACAGACCAAAAAAGGAAAGAATTAAATTACTGAGACAGCATGGGGAATAGTAATGTAGAAATCAAGTCCTCCTTTTAAATATAATTTACATATACCTTGGCCTCAGTGAGTCTTGCCTTTAGCCTTCCGTGAGGTCTTTTGAAAGAATCACTTTCAGTACTCATCTCGTCTCTTAAATCCGTAAGAGTCCCAGGAAGAAGAGACCTGGCATATAGTTCAAGAGTGCTGTCCGCTGATCTTTTTCTCCAGTAACTTCTTGATCTGGTCTTCTGGTCTGGCACCCTGAGAGTATAAATGCAATTGGGGAATTGTTTTCATTGCCACAGACCTTTAAATGCATTAATTAGAATATCTATAAAAGTGCTGCCAGTAATTAGGATACTACAAAGGGGGGGACTTATGAGGATGCATGGCAAAGAAAACAATTATTGTAAATGATTATGTGTAAAAGTTTAGAAAGTGAAAGAGTCATAACTATTGCTTTTCTTTAAAATACACTAGCGTTCAACCAACCACTCTCATTTGTTAGATCTTTTTCTAATAAGCAGTATCTAAAGTGAAAGTAGCACATTCAGCTTATTGGAAAGACTTTTTTTCCAATAAGTGAGAATATTTCTTAATGTGCTTAATAATCAAAGCACACATTTTCAGAATCTCATGTACTTTGTTTAACTGCTGTGGGTAGAGGTCTTTCCAGAGTTTCCTAGCTATCATGTGCAAAATAAGAAGTATATCTCATTTCCTAACTTGAGTTGACCAAATGGGTAGTTCCTTTATATGATTTTGTTAATGAAAGATATTTTTATCTTACATCATAATGAAAGCATTTTGTCTCAGTGATACTGTATCTACCTGATAATCTGATCGAGAAATGCTAGCTATGATACAAGTGGGTAATGGTGTAACTTAGATCTTTAAGCTACACTAGCAGGCAAATGCAGGAAGGAAGAAAATAGTTCAAGGTCATATATGATGCATATCAAGTTTTTTGGGGCTAGCATCAAAGCAAGGTCAAAGCAAGAAATCAAAGCTGGAAATGTGAAAAGATTAAAAAGTTAAATGAAAATAAAACCAGTTAAATGTTGCATGTATATAGTGATTATCTAAGATCTCTAATCGACCTCACCAGGCATCTTCTTTCTTTCTCTTTCTTTCTGCCTAATCATATAACCAATGGTTCTCAACTGGCAGTGATTTATGCCCCCCAGAAAACATTGGCATTGACTGGAGAAAATGTTGGTTGTCACAGTTGGAGGTAGGGATGGGGGTGCTTCTGTCACTTAGTAGGTAGAGGCCAGGTATGTTTCTAAACATTCTATAATGCACAAGACAGACCTGAAAACAAAAAATTATCTAGCCCCAAATGCCAATAGCGCCACTGTTGACAAACTCTGATTAAAAACCTAGTTTGTATATAGGACAAAGGTAATCTTGCCCAGTTAGCAAGACTTCCTAGTATGAATAGCCAGAGCTTTCTTTGCAAAAGAAAAAAAATGTAAGTAGAGTAAAAATAGGCTTTGGCTGGGCCTATGATCCTAGTACTTTGGAAGGCCGAGACAAGAGGATGGTTTGAGGCCAGGAGTTTGAGACCTGGCAGAACAACATAGAGAGACCCTATCTCTAAAAACATTATTTTAAAAAAGACCTTAAGGAGGTAAATATTGTCAAATTTTTAGCAGCAAAACAGTGAAACCAAGTGTGTCTCCTTGTAAAAGTAGCACCTGACTTGCTCCTTGACTAAGACAGGAGTGATTTATTAATTCTTGCTTTTAACTTCATTATTGCCCCCTCTAGTCTACAAAACTAATGAAGGAACAAAAAACTCCTCATGTTCTCACATGTTAAAGGATGAGGGAAACAAAGCCTCACCTTCAGAGTCTGCTGTCACCCAGGCACAGCAAAGAAAAACAATGGCTTTGCTCTCAGAGGATGCTAAACATGCACTTGGGCCATCTTGCAAACTCCTGAGTGACAGGGCACCTGAGGTTGCCAAAATCAAGGTTCATCTCTTCACTCCCTTTCTCAAAACACTCTTGAGGCAGCTAGTGGGGACAGCTCCTCCACATCTTTTCCTCTTTGAGGATGCCTTTGATGTGCATCTAAAGCCAATTCCAGCAGTTATTGGTCCTGGATCACACATTGCCAGAGACAGCTCTGCCGCTTGCAGAGCAACACAAAACACCATTGTCTATTAATGCAGGTAAGCAAGGAGGAGATAACACAGTGCCATCAACATGGGCGTCAGTATACAGATGCCTCTTAAAAGTTTTCAGTTGTAAAAGCTTTGATCACTGGTCTTAACCAGTCCTGGCAATATCATCTCAAGGGAGTTCATTTGGTAGGGCCCCTCTACTTCTTTGGAACCTAATTTTCTTTCAACATACACACAAATGTTAACTCAGCAAAATGAGCCTCTGTGAGAAATGCTGGTTTCTCAGATCATCACCGATGAAGCAGTTAGTGTTTTCAGTTTCAGCTGGAAAATTTACCTCTTTAAATATGAATGTTATTTTTTTCCAGTAAGTTAAGCCGGTTGTGGTCAAAAAGAAGAGAAAAGAAAAAACTTCAACAAACATGAACATGTGGTTTTCAAGGAAAAAAAAGTGCTATAATTAACATTTATAAATAGTTTCTATTAAATAAGCATTTTGGCAAACATATGGAAAGAGCACCACCTTGCCCTTATGAGAGGCAATCTGCCCTGAAATAAGGAAACCAGATAAGCGAGTTCTCATCTTGTGGCTATGTATGCAAAGCAAATCTGATGGGTTTGTGTCTTAAAGATGCATGTTATTAATCAAAATTCATATTGGGTAAGCATAGGGGTTGGAAAATGCAAAGCAGGCTAGATGCTATTTTCAGCTGATTGTCTATGAGATTCAAGTAATACTGTCATGTACAGGCTTGCCCTTGCAGGGATTGGGAAGGACTGAAATTTCTGGTTATAAGGTAGTGGCTTCTGTACACATTAGTGCAATGAAGACACAGCAGTTTAGGGACAAAACAGCATGATACACACCCATTTGCTGAAAGAAAAAAGTAATTTTGATGCAAGTAAACTTCTGATACAAGTAAACTACTTTAATGTGCTTGGATCAGCATTAAAGTGGCTTCAACAAGTATGATAAATTTTGTTCTTCCAATAAATTTCATTTCCCCTCATTTGATTACTAAGATTTTGGCTTATTCACTAGTTACTAGTTATTTTGCCAAACCAAGAGACAAGGTTTTGTTGCTTGTTTTGTCTACTTCTCCATTCTCTAAGACATTACTCTTACCTTCTAAGAAATCATGTTGCTTCCTGTTGGTTGGGCAAGTCTCAAATTCTGTTCCTTGACTGATTGATTCAGGCAGAATCTTACTCTAACCGACCCGAGAGTGTGAATCAGATTTTGGAAAAGTAATGCATGGTCTATAGCAAGAGTATTGATACTTAAATATTGGAATTTGCCATCAGAGGTAGGTATACACTTCCTTTCTCCAAAGGCAGGGTTTTAACTCCTTTACCTCATCTATTGACAAATATATATTGATCATTCACTAGCAACACGATACTGTGCCTGCTGCTTGGGTAGAATAAAATGCTGCTCAAGACATGTCACTGATAGATATGCCTGTATATATTGCAGAGAGAAACTGTAAACAAGTGAAAAATATTCTTAGACTATAGCATAATTTAACCAATGCTGCCATTGGTCAGTGTAACTTTTAGATTCTCATAATTCAGCAAATGTGTTCCAGCTAACACTCCCTTACAAACACAAATATCCTGTCCACCTACCAGACCTCAAAATGACCCTCAGTATTGCATTAGGAATAAAGAACTGTGAAAATGTGAAGTTCCGTTCTCTCTTCTCTGTGAGACAGAGAAATATCCCTTCTTCTAAAATAAGGGGAAACATACCTGCAAGTAACCCCATCTCTTCATCCCAAAAAGTAAGTAAGAGGAAAACCATATCTCACTAGTCTGCAGAAACAAATGTGATTCAAGACACTGCGGTAGAGGTAGAAACAGGATTGGGAGAGTCATTTTTTACTTCCTGAATAACTTTCATTAACATATATATAAATTATATCTCTTTCAGAGACACTGTGAGTGGTCAGCTTTTTCATGTTTTCAGAAGGCCCCATTAAAGCCAGCAAATACAGGAGACAATGAAAAGACAATCAAGTTATTAACTAAACAGCTGAAGAGAAAACTACCTTCCACAAAAGCAAAGAGAAGACAGAATCACATACTAGTAAGATTGCCATTTGTCATCTATCTTATTTGTACACATTAACTATTTCTATCGCACTATATAAATGCACATACATTTGTAGTCAGAGCCTCTGGTGCCTTCCTTCCTTCCAGTTACACCTTATCATACATGGTGTGTTTTCAGAAGTAGGATCACATTTTTAAGTCCACAGATTTGAAAGTGTCTAGAAAACCAGTTATAATTTGCTCGTAGTCCCTGGTGGCTGGAATAAGTTAATATAGAGTCTAAGGATGAGAAAGTCATTAGCGGAGAATCCAAATGTGGTTTAGGAGTTAAGAAATGTTTTCTTCTCATTGCATGGTCATATATAACTTGCACTCTTATTAACAGAAGCTAGATCCTAGTTTGCCAACAAGAAAAGAGATAGCCTACAAGAGCCCAGGATAAATTTTAAGCTTTGCCTTTTTCCCTTAAAGAAACTACTGCCAGCCGGGTTCGGTGGCTCAGCCTGTAATCCCGCACCTTTGGGAGGCTGAGGTGAGTGGATTGCCTGAGCCCGCGGGTTCGAGACCCGCCTGGGCAGCAAGACCTCATCTCTACAATAAATCAAAAAATCAGCCGGGCGTGGTAGCACACGCCTGTAGTTTCGGCTACTTGGAAGGCTGAGGCGGAAGGATCGCAGGAGCCCAGCAGGTCGAGGCTGCGGTGGCCGGGAGCGGCCACTGCACTCCAGTCTGGATAACAGAGTGAGACTCCAACTCAAAAAACAAAAAAAAAAGAATACTACTGCCCTGTACAATAGAAGAGTCAGTATTGAACTTAATTAGGTAGACTCCATTATTTGGCTGGGAAATTTTAATGGTCCCTAGTTTTTTGGGATGCTGAGACCCTCTTGTATATGCCAACTCATAAGCAGTGAAGATATTCAAGAACATGAGTAATTCAAGCATTAATCAAAACCAGTGGAAAAACACATAAATAAATTACTCTAAATTTTTATCAGTTCTTCCTACCCCAAAAAATTCCACTTGTGATTCAAATAAAATCTTAATTATAATATCAAAATGATTCTTATTTCCTTTGATTGTTTGACCAGGTTATCATGTAAAAAATATTCCTCTGCCAACTTTCCTATGTTTTTGAAAATTAGTATCAAAGATTCGTGGAATGGTAGCTTTAGCTCTGAACTTAGAACCATCCAGCTAAGCACCTTCATTTGACAACTAAGGAAAGTGAGACCTACCAAAGGGGTTAAGTGATTTGCCCTAAGTTCCACAGATAGTGTCAGAATGAGAATCAGAACTTGTATCTACTATTTCTCAGTGAACAGTAGTTCAACATCACACAGGCATTGAATGCTAACTACCAAGCAAAGGCTTGATGGCTTAATATCTCAACAGGAATAAAGATAAACAATATAAATCAAGAAATGTTTTAAAATGTAAGCAGGTAAAATATATATGAAAAATTGTTCAATCTCCCTAGTAATCAAATACATGCAAATTAAAACAAGGAAATTATATTTTTTATAATTAGAATTTTAACAGTACTCAATAATGGTAAGAATACTGTAAGTTAAAAAAGGTATAGCTGTTTTACAACATACCAAAAAACTTAAAATATTTCATTCCTCAATTTTTTTTTTTTTTTAGTCAAGATCTCACTGTGTCATCCAGGCTGGAGTGCAGTGGCACAATGTTGGTGCAGCACAACCTTGACCTCCTGGGCTTGAACTCCTTTGGCTTCAACTTCCCAAATAGCTGGAACTATAGGCGTGTGCTACCACACCTAGCTTAATTCCTACTTCTAGGAATTTATCAAATAAGCAAAGATATATATGAAAATTAATTAGAGATGTTCTTTGCAGTATTGTTTACAAAAGTGAAAAGTAAGAAGCAACCTATGTGTCCAAAAATAGTAATAGCTTCATCCTATGCTGGACTACAAAGAAATTATTATATATCATATTTTTAAAGATTATTTAATACCCAGGAAATGCCTGTGATATATTAAATGTAAAAATAAGGCAGACTACCAACTAGTATAAATCACATAAATGCAACGTTTTAAAAAACACTGGGAGAATACACATCAAAACAATACAGTGGTTATTACTGTGGTTTTTTTTCACTGTTACTTACTGAACAATTTTATGTACTTCTCAAATGTTTTTCAGTGAATATGATCTATGTCTTTAATGGGAAAAAATAAATTTTAAATGAACATTTTCTATAAAGTAGAAAAAAATTATAAAGAAAAATGTTACTTTTCTGTTGACTTCTAGACATGCCCTTCCTGTGATTCTTATGAGAAAAAACCACCCAAAGAATTCCTAGAAAGACTAAAATCACTTCTCCAAAAGGTATATACCTTAAATTATGTTTGATCTTCCACTTCAACTTTACCTAGCTAGATTGTTTCTTATGTTTAGGTTACTCATGGTATACTATTTCCACAGATGATTCATCAACATCTATCCTAGAACACATGGGACATGAAGAGTCCTGAGGACCTCACTTGAAGCTGGACACTATAGCACATACTCTAATATAGCAGTGAAACTCACTTCCTGGTATACCAAGTGGAGGAATACAGTTTATTAGTGATGAGAGAAAACCTCAGATAAGTGTGCAAAGTCAGGATTATTTCCCCAAAGTTACTATGCAATAGTCTGATTTCCTATGTTATTGATTTCTATGACTTCTGAAGTTTTTGCTGTATCTCACTGCTCAAGTTTGACATTGCTTGGTTGGAGGAGAAGGTTAAAATTTTTAATCAAATATAGAGTTTGGAAATTTACTGATCTTATATTAACCTTGATCTTGATTTTCACAAAAATAAGGTCTATTATTAAGGTAATAACTTAGAAGGTGTATACCTTTCTTTGAGTTAAAAATATAGAAACATAGAATCAAAATGAAAATTTGAAGTCTTTATTATTCTAAGGAACTGAAAACTGAGTGTTTAAAAACATATCTGAAGAGTTTGTTTTTTAACTCAGAATGTCTGACATATGTCATTTATTTATTCAACAGAAGATACCAGGTGGCCACAAAAAGTCATCTTTATCAAAGTATTTAAATACTATAGATATGAATGTATCTATGGAATAGATTCTTAGTCTTTTTTCTTAGGTGGTAATAGAGTATTAAGAAGAGCATTTAATGTTACTTTCCTCCAGTCCCTAGTCCCCTTATAAGCTAACATTTTAAGCCTGTGGAAAGGGCAGTTAAAAACTATAGAGGGACATACATCAGGTAGTCTTCCAGAACCAAACAGAATTTAAACAGTTGGGTAGCTCTCTTTTCAAACTGTTATAATTGTATAATGAGCAAGATAACTCCAAACGTCTGTCCCCTTATTTCTTCTTTCCTTTCTTTTTTTTTAAATGAAACTTCTGGCGTGATGAAATTTCAAAACATGCTAGCATTTTAGACACATTGCGTTTCCATACTTTGGATAAGACAAATTCAACCACCTATATGACTTCAAAATCAGGAGACAAATAAAGAGCTCAGGATTCCTGTCCAAGTTGAAAACAGACTTTTGCACACACATTCCAATCTTTCATTCTTAGATAGTAAAAACAAGCCACCTACTCTAACTGCCATTTCATATCAATTGCAGCATAGTTTGCTTAAATATGAAATAAACAACTCTAGAAAAATAAAATATTTATTAGAACAGTATAAGCTATTTGAGGATCTCTTATTGTTAAAATGACTATGAGTGTGCAAGAGGATGTGGGATGGAAATGCTTTATGCTCTGAGAAGAAAAAATATCTCCTTAAAAGTGGTTTTAAAACAAATATAGTTCTATATTTGTTTTAAACAAATATAGTTCTATACTTATAGTTCTAAATGATACATTGAGAATCAATTGTTTAATCAAATCTTAATGAAATGTTTTATTATCAGAACAAGGTACTCTGTTTTAAAATGTTAAAATATGCTACTACAAAGGAATAATGTGGCTAATGATGATAATATGCATCTAAAGTCTGCCTAAGTGTTAAATATGCCAGCCCAGGTGGTTGGGATAAAAGGTGAAAGCAGGCACAAACATGATGGGAAGATGGAGTAGATATTTCTTGTTTCTGGCTTTATAGCTGCTGACTTTTTTGATATTGCAATTTTTATATTTAAAATAATGTATTTATTTTGGCATGTTTATTGTTAAGAATCTCTATTCTAATCCTTTTGATCAAGGTCTCTATCTTAAAAGTAAAAATAATTTAATGGGGCATTGGCTAAGAGCCTTCACTAAACATTTAGAAACTCAGGTAAAGATTCCATCAGCACCCCAGGAAAAGCAATGCATCAGAATAAACAGTGACACTTAAACCATCTCCATCTTCACTCCTCTGTGTTCAAGATTTAGCCAGTTCTTAAAAGGAATATAAGGATAATCTATAAATACCACTGTTCACTTATGAACAGTAATACAGAACAGAAGACATGAAATATTTTTGGCTGTGAAATCATGGTCACTTGCTTAAACTTTTTGAGTTTCCATTTCCTTATCTGTAGAATGAGGTTGCTGGACTTAATCACTAAGGTCTACTCTATCTTCTTTGGAACTTTATATGTCCACGAGTCTCTCAAGTTCTGGGTACTCTTACAGGACCATCTGATCATAATTCTGAGTAGAACTTTCCACTGAATCTGATGTTCAATCGCTCAATATTATTTCAATAGAATTTGTAGTAACACTCACTGTAGGAACAAATAAAATGTTCCAAGAAAAGAGAAAGGTGGAAGGAAGGAAGGAAGGAAGGAAGGAAGGAAGGAAGGAAGGAAGGAAGGGAGGGAGGGAGGGAGGAAGGAAGAAAAGAAAAAAGAAAGGAAGGAGGAAAATATTGCTGTAAGTCATGGGAGTTCAGGAAAAATAAATTATTATTTTTATTACTTTAGCTGAAAGTGTCTTCTCTCTTTGGACACATATAAAATTATAGCATTATTATTCTATATTATTGCTCTGTTATATTTACATTTGCATCTGAGAATTTAGTTTTATATTAACTATGTACTTTATAACTTAATAATTATTTATTATATATTTGGTTTTAAATGTTCATGTTTTATGGCTTATTTAAGACCTGATCATATTAAATACGACCCACTTATGCAACTGTCTCTTGTGATTCCCTGGAAACCCTTAATTCAACTGTCTTAGCATAAAATAAAATATAATCCTTGTTTTGGGGAGCATATAGTTTTTACATGTATGTGTTAAAGATAGTCTTCTCTCCTTACCTGCTTTCATTAAAATAAAATGCCTACTTCCTTTCCCTACTACAAGGATACCACTTTCTTTGTAGTCTTCCTACATGTGTGGTAGGTTCAGGAGGAGTTAGAGACATGCTTCTCAAATGCCCGCTGCCACCTTTGCATGTACACTCTGGCACAAAAATCCCCTACATTCACGTTTATCCTCACTAGCTTTTCTGATGCCTCTTCTTCTTACTAATGATTGCCACCTCCTGGCCACTCCTCCATGTCCTTTCCCTCACATTCAACTTCTGCCATCATCCTGAGTGACTTCAGTGCTCATAGAGAGTATTCCACCAACATTGCAGCTTCCCAGAACCCTAACCTCCTCAGTTCTAAGTATCTTTTTATTCCATCCCATGGCGCACTCCCTCAGTCATAGCTTTATTACCTGGGACCACCTCTCTCTCTGTAATGTGTACCTATATAAAACCACCACCTACTAGTCTTTCAGCTTTCAAACTGCCCCACTTCTACAGCATCTGTCCTGAGACCCTGAAGCCAGACCTCTACCCTGCCCCATTCTGTCAGTTTTGGTTTTCCTCCCTCTCTCATGGAGCCTAGACCTATGATCAGTCCCTTGAGCCACAGGCCCAGCAGCACTCACCACCTCCTTCCCTGCTCATTCTTCTTCCTCACCTGCCTACAAACTCCCTGAGCTTTCTTACCCTTGATGCCCTAATCAAGCTTCAGACCTTGACTCTAGCCTCTCACCTTTGGGGACCCTTTTAAGCTTCCTAATCTTGGTTACTAGAGTCTCTTTCCTACTTCACTCTCAGCTTTGAACACTCACTTGCTTTCAAGATCTGCCACAGCTTCAAATAAGAGATCCCTACCCCCGCCACCTACCCCTGCCCCCAGTTAGCTCCAGCATGGCCTCATCTACTGTAGAAGAAAGGAATTTGTATATCCACAGCAAGTTCATTGAAAGAATAGTCTATGCATGTGTCTACACTCTCTCACCTCCTATCTACTCATCAAACCACTAAAATCTGATTGCTACCCATCCCACACCTTACCATTCTATCACTAGACTTGCCCTGTTTTTGGTCAACAGTTAACTCCTAATTACCAAGTCATGAAAGTTTCTAAGTCCCTATCTTACTTGATCTTATGGCTTTAACTACTCTTTACCACCCCTCCTTTTCCCCTCTGACTTTGGAGCCTCCTTTTTGTCTGGCTGTTGTCTTACCTCTCTGAGCACACAGTCTCAGGGTCAACTGCTGGTTAACTTTCTGTGCCCTCTCCTTAGTAGTTGATGCTCCCCACCAGGCACAGTCGCTCACACCTGCAATTCCAGTACTTTGGAAAGCCAAGGCGGATTACTTGAGCCCAAGAGTTGACAACCAGACTGGAGAGTCTGTGTCTATTTAATAATAATAATTAAAAAAGTGATGTTTCTGAGGATTCTGTTCTAGGCTACCTTTCACTTTAAGCCTTCCTCCTGGACAGTCAAATGTGTTCCTGCTGTATTTATTCAATGTCCCCTCCATGTTATTGACCCCTAAATCTATAGGTAAAATCTAGATCTCTCTGATAATTCCCAGGGCTATGCATTCTACTCTTCTTGAGATTTCCACCTTTATCTCCCAGGCTTTTCACGTCAACATGCCAAAATTGTTTGTGTTTTGTTTTGTTTTGTTTTGTTTTTGAGTTGGAGTCTCACTCTGTCACCCAGACTGGAGTGCAGTGGCACGCTCCTGGCCACCACAGCCTTGACCTGATGGGCTCCAGCGATCCTTCCGCCTCAGCCTTCCAAGTAGCTGGAACTACAGGCGCGTGCTGCCACGCCCGGTTAATTTTTGATTTATTGTAGAGATGAGGTCTCGACAAGTTGCCCAGGTGGGTCTTGAACCTGCAGGCTCAGGCAATCCTGTGTTTTGTTTTTAGAGATAGAGTCTCACTCTGTCACCCAGGCTGAAATGCAATCATAGCTCACTGCAGCCTCAAGCTCCTGGGCTCAGGCGATGCTTCTGCCTCAGTCTCCCAAGTATCTGAGATTACAGGCATGTACCACCACATTCAGCTAACATGCCAAAATTGATCTCATCACTTTCCTCCACTTTCATGACTTTCTCTTTTTCAAGAGTTCTCTATCATTCATTGATGAAAGTACATCCTCCCAGCCTCTCAGACTCTGGCTTCTTCCTCACTCACTCTAACCAGTGGTCACTGGGCCTTGTTTATTCTATCTTTCAAATTCTTTATTTTCCTCTCCCTCTGCCATTATTTTAATTCAGGCTCTCAGCTCTTATTGCAATGGTTGAAATAGCTATCAGTTGGGTTTCTAGTCTTTTATCTTCTATTCTCTCCACTCT